AGTTGCTCAGTTGCTTGTAACTCAGTTACTAGAGTACTTGTAGCTCAGTTGGTAGAGTGCTTGCCTAGCATATGTGCAAAGCCCTGAAATCAGTCCTGAACTCATAAGCAGGTGATGCACACCTGTAATCTCAGAACTCAGGAATGTAAGCAGGAGGACCAGAAGTTCAAGGTCACCCTTGGCTGCATAGTAAGTTTAAGTCTAACTTATACTACAAGAGACTGGGGGTGTAGGAGAGATGGAAAGGAAAACGAGGAAGTGAATTGAGGGGAGAAGGGAAGCCAAGGCAGAAGGGAACTCGGGCAATCTTTTAAGGAATCTTTTGAGGAAATCAGAGACCAAGAGAGAAATTTGTCGAGTGGAAGGATTACAATATGTTCTGATGACATGAGCAATTAAGCAGGGAAGGAAAAGTGGTTGGGGGTCAACACTTGTCCCTTGTAAAATCTAATGGTAGTCTGGCAGGGACCTGGACACAAATGTGGAGGCCTTAGTGCAGGGAGCATCCACAGTCCATCAATAACAGGAAGGAAGAAGGACAGAGGTGACAGGAGGCTGAGGATGGTCTTATCCAGGGTTTCTACTTCCTCAGTGACACAGGAAGCATCATCACCTTAGAGGGTGGAAGAGGGAGGAGGTGTTAGAGATTTAAAGAGAGGAGACTGGAAAAGTTTATCCAGGAGATTGGAAATGTAAAGGCCACATGTACACACCACACATACATGTGCATACACACACTCCATCCCCAGTGGCAGAGCAGAAGCATCAGTTTCATGCATAAACTACTTGGCTCTAGTAAGCATGGAAAGGGTTCAGGAATCAAAGACACCCTCACCTCCCTGCTCCCCCCTCAGCACCTTCACTATGTCCAGCCCTGCCAGGGTCAGACAGGAAAAACGAGGCTCAAAGAATAAAGTGGTTTACACCAAGTGGAGAACCAGGGTCACCCCAAGACTCCGCCTTTGCCCAACTCTGACTTCTTCACAGTTTCCACTTTTTTCTGTCTCCCAGAGATCAGGCTTGTGTGGAGAAACTTTTAGAAACACAGATTCTTGGGCCCCACTCTGGGAGAAGTGGATCCCATAGCTGGTGGGTTGTGGCTGGGAATCAGCATCTTAACAGCCAACCCAGGTGATTTTCACTGTGATGGACACTTGGATACAGACCACCATCCTGTTCCCTCTTATTGACTTATATTCTAGGTCACCAAGAAAGTCCCCTCTATTTCCCAACCTTGAAAACAGGTTCCATGACAATGGCCCGTGGCTGTGCACCTCTCCAATGCAATGTCTTAATTAAAGGCAGGAGACTCTAGTTTGTAGCTAACAGATGAGGTAAAAAGTTAATGCTGGGGCTGGAGAGTTAGCTTGTTGACAGTGCTTTCCCTGGAAGCATGAGGATCTGAGTTCAACCCCCAGAACCCACATTTTTTAAAAAGTCAGGTATGGTGACACAGGCTAGTGATCCCAGCACTGGGGTGGAGAAACAGGCTGCACACACATGAACACACGCATGCACACACACACACATGAACACATGCATGCACACACACACGTGAACACACACACACACACACACACACACAAATTCATGCAACTATAGTTCCAGGGTTTAGAGAGAAGGTATATGGGGACATAGGTTTTGAGAAGATACCCATCTCATATCCTTTACTAGACTAAAGCCACATTATTTGCCTCTCCAAGGCTGTTTACCACCTGTGATGTGATGTGGTTATAGGTTTGGAATGATGTTTGGGAAGACCTCTGTGCAATAATTGTAAAATTGGGGCTTCTGTAGTAACTGCTGGTAATGGAGTCAGAATGACAGGGCTCACTGACAGTGACATTTCTTCATCCAGCTTTGATGACAGCAAGTCAGACCAGGGGACCTGACCACAGCATCATTGCTCATTGTAATGCCTGCGGCCAGTGAGTTTGAGAGCACCAAGCCAGGAGCTGATGTGGGGATACCCTGGAGAAGTTGTTCCCATCAATACACTAACATTTGTTTTGTCGTCGAACCTCACGCCCTTGTTGACACAGAGGCCATTAGGGGAGATGCTCAGCCTTGGATGGAATGGGCCAGGAGGCAGCAGCATAGTGGCGTTCCACTTGAAGCGATATAGTATATTAATCAATCCAAGCTGTTGCTAACGTCATTAACATCTGCATCAATGCTGGGATGGAATGGGTGTATTATCACTCTTGAGTCCACCCTTGCTCCCAGTTCAATACTGATGCTGCCCTCAAGGTTTCAAAAGCTTCTATTGACCCCAGCAGCCAGTGTCACTGTCGTGAGGAATTTGAGTGATTCATGCTGTGTTTGGGAAACACTAAGCGCCCTTTTCTCTAGAGAAGCAAAGCCACCAAAAGCACTTGACTGACCTGATTTGTCATCGCTGAACTTGAGTATGAGTAAGTTCTGCCCCAGACATTTTTCAAAAATATTTTATTTATTTTATGTGTATGAGTATATTGCCTGCATGTATGTAAATACACCTGTGTTGTGCAATGCCTACAGAGGCCAGGAGAGGGAATTGACTCCCCTGGAACTGAAGTTAGAGATGGTTGCTAGTCACCATGTTGGTGCTGGGAACCGAACCTGGATCCTCTGTAAGAGCAGTCAGTGCTGTTAACCACTGAGCCAGCTCTCCAGCCCTTTGCCCCATAAATTCTGACTTAAAAGTTTCTTTCTTTTCTGAAAAATGACCAACATATGAACAAAAGTAAGAGACAGGGCTGCTTTATGGTCTGCCTGCCTTTAAGTTGCACTGTTCACTTAGCTTGCTACAACTACCTATAGATTGAATCTGTTAACAATAAAGGATTATTATAGACATTGCAGTTTGTCCACTTAATGGGACACTGTGAGGCCATCAAAAAATGGGGCTGAGGTTCCTGTTCTAGACCTGGAAATACTAGGCTATGAAATATTCAGTGCAAATGCAAGATAAAATACTGTATATTTAATAGAGTTCATGCTTGTAAGAGGAAAAACGTGGGCATGCCTATGTGTACCCCAAAGTCAGGAAGGAGATACATGAAAAGTTTAAGGGTCCCCAAGCTCTCTCAATGTGGACTTCATAACAGCACAGCATAATAACAATTGCAATTTTTTTCCAGTAGGTAAAGGGTGATGAGGATTTTAAATTCTTTTTTTTTTTTTGGTATTTTATAAGGTTTCTTCTCTGAATATATACCTACCATTTGTGCAACTTTTAAAATGTGAAGAGGGACAGCCCCTAAAACATACACTGTAGTATTCTGTATTGTTTAGAAAAAGGTAAAACCAGTCCGGCGTGGGGGCACACACCTTTAATCCCAGCACTCAGGAGGCAGAAGCAGGCAGATCTCTGTGAGTTGGAGGCCAGCCTGGTCTCCACATTAACTAGCCCTAGGTTTTCAGGTTGAAGCATCTGTAATGCCATGGGGAGGCAGGTGCTGCAGGGTCTCTCAACACCACTGCTTTTCTGTGCAAAGCCAGAAAAGTGAAGGGTAATTTCCAAACCCCTAGTGGCATGGCTCTGATACCAGGTCTCCTGTCAGTGGGCCCAGGAACCCAGGAAGCTGGTGTCAGAACTATTGCTGTCTAGAAGGGGCCTCTAAGTCACCAAACTTCTGAATTAAACCCCTTTCTGCATGAAACTGTTATACACAAAAAAGGAAGTTTACTGTGTTTTCTTGTTTTGTTTTTTGGGGGGGGTTGTTGCTATTGTCGTTGTTGTTGTTGTTGTTCAGACAGGGTCTCAGGTAGCCCAGGCTGGCCTTGAACTTCACATGCACCTAAGAATGACCTTGAACTTCTGATCTTCCTGCTTCTATTTCCCAAGTGCTATACAGGTATGAGCCACCACATCTGGTTTTATGCAACACTGGGGACTGAACCCAGGGCATCTCACATGCTGGACAAGCATTCTACCTACTGAGACACATTCCCAGTCCTATATGACAAGATCTCACTATGAAACCCAGGCTGGGCCCCAATTGACAGCAGGACATGTGATGCGCTTACATACAAGCAGGCAAACACTCATACACATAACATAAAAACACATTTAAAAAAATAAAATCTGAGCGCCTACTGCTTATATTGGTATACATGTTGTTTGTAATTTCTAGAAACTTAACTTCATAGGAAGAGCAACTGTCCTCGATTCTTTGAGTAGGAGTATAAAGTCTTTTACTTGTACCTGTAGGGCCCAGCCAGGATGCCTCTTGGGATTGGGACACACGAGCTACTTTCACGGCTTTTCTCATCTCTGTGATCAAGCACCTAACACAAAGCAACTTATGGGAAGGACTTATTCTGGCTCATGGTTTGAGTATAGAGTCCATCATGGCCGAGGTCTACCATGTGGTGGGAGCAGGTGCCCAGTACTCCTCACATCCCAGTGGACCAGGAAACATAGAGAGAGATTCCTGCACTCTTCTGACTTCCTCTTGTTTTCCCCTTTCTTTCCAAGCCCCCAGCCCATGGGATGCTGCCACCCACATTCAAGGTGAATCTTTCCTCTTCTGTTAAATCTCTCTGGAAATTCCCCAACAGACACATTCAGAGATGTGTCTCCTAAGTGATTTCAAATCCTGTCTTTTTGGCTCTGAAGATGAACCATCCCAAAATCCCTGCCTACCCCGCCTCTTCTCTCTGTCCGTGATGTCTCTCAGCTTCTACTGTATCTTTTCTTCCTTTCCCCATTGAATATCGACATTCCTGTCTTCACAGCCTCCCTTTGAGAATCAATAATGATGCCACAAAAATGGTAAATAACAGGGATGGCCATAGGGCTCATCATATAATAACAGGCAGAGACCCCCCTGGCCCAGGTTGAGTAACTAGCTTGGTTTATTTTGCATTTTACATTCCTAGATGCAGTGGACTTGTGTCCTTTTCCATCTGGATCTGTCAAGCTATGAGGTAACGTAGCTGTGAGCAAAGCAGCAAAAAAAAGCATCCTCAGTCCCAAGACACAGCTGGAGAATGTGGATGGGTCGCCCAGGTGGCTACAGTTTGCAGCCGTCCAGCCACCGACCCAGAGTGTCAGACAGCTGGCAGTTTCTGGACCAGGTGGGCCTGCAGAGGGAAGACCAGAGAGAATGATCAGGAGGGGGCATCTTACAGAGCTTGGGGTAGCACCTTTCCTGAGCTTCTGAGTCTTCCCCCTGCTGTTGACACATTTTTGTAGACTTTCCTGCTTCTTGGTACTCACACCAATGTGAATGCAGGTGCATCCCTCCATGATGTGCCTGCCCCAGAGCTAAGAACTGTGAGATTCTCCCCAGCTCTGCAAAGTATTGATCACTTGGGAGTTCTGTAACTTGCCCAGGGCTCCTTCCACCTGTCCATGCACCTGCTTCATCCTGCAGCATCTAAAATTTCTTCTGACTCTTCAGCCCTTCTTAGGCAGCTGGACTGAGTTGTAGAAATGACTTTTAAAATATGGACAGAATCTGGACTAATGATTTTTACTTTGCACCAAAAAGCTGCTGTTTATAATGTAAACAAGCTCACAGAACCATGTGCTCTTGTGACCTGGGCATATGACCCTAATCCCTCAGGACCCTACTTTGCCCTTCACCCCAAGATAGTGAAGGAATGTCCTGTTCCTCAGCCTGGCAGATTCCATCCTAGGTCCTCAGGATGGGGCATGGGGAGTGGCAGCTCATAGTAAGAGTCCTGATTACTTTCTATTGCTGTGCTAAAACATTCTGACCAAGGGGCTGAAGAGATGGCTCAGTAGTTAAAAACACTGGTTGTTCTTGAAGAAGACCGGGGTTTGAATTCCAGCACCCACGTGGCAGCTAACAACTGTCCGTAACTCCAGTCCCAGGGGATCCAACAGCCTCTTCTGACCTCCATGGGCATTGCACTACACGGGTGCACTTACCTACATGCAGGCAATACATGCATACACATATAAATAAAAATTAAAAAAAAAACAACACTCTGACCAAAAACAACTTGGGGAGGAAAGTGTTTATTTGGCTTCTAAGTTCCAAGGCAAGCCAAGGCAGGAACTCAAGAGCAACATAGAGACAGGGCTAAAGCACAGACCGTGGAGGAATGCTATTTACTGGCTTGCTTCTCTGGGCTGTGCTCAGCCTGCTTTCTTCTCATACAACTCCGGACTAGCCCAGAGGTGGCACCACCACAGTAGGCTGGGCCCTCCCACACCATGCAATAGTCAGGAAGCCGGCCCACAGACTAATCAGATAGAGGAAATTCCCCAATTCAGAGTCCCTCTTCCGGGGTGTTTCAAGGTGACAACTGAAACTATCCAGCTTGATGGGCAATTGTCCCCTACCCCTCAGAGCTACAGAGCAGGACAGAATGTACACACATCCACATTTCTAGGAATACCACAGCTCTTCATAGTCCGGGGACAGATAGGAGGGAAGGAGCTCCCCAGGACGGTGGAATTCTTGTCTTCTCTCTTTTCCTACCATCCTGCCCAGCAGAGTGGCTCAGTCTGAGCTACAGAAGATGCCTGATTGCCTGTCAGCTTACTGAGAACCTGCCTTACAGGAGGCTGAGTAACAAGGCTGCCTTGATCAGCCTGGCCCAGCACATCGTTCCATAGTGCCATACAACAAAAACAACTTGAGCTCATTAGTGTTCACCCCAGAGGGCCAGCCATGCTCACCAACTAAGCAGAGTCCAGACTGTATAGGAAAGGCATTTCAAGCCCTCAGAAGTCGGCTAGCATTAATGAGATTTCCACCATTCAAAGTGACCAGATTAGTGAATTTGTGATAAAGAATAAGGAGCACAGAGTTTAAAATGAAGGTCTGCGGCACCTGCCTCACTTTTTGAACCAATAAATTACAAAGGAGTCCTAATTTTAAGCACTTAAAACAAAAATCATAAACTTCTATTTTTTAATTGAACATATCTAGTACTGAATTTAATTGAATATATCTAGTATTATTTTTTGTCAGCTGTGTTCTGATGTAGAGGAAAACAGGACTCAAGTTTTTTACAAGCCTAGAATATGAAAGACCTTCCATTCATGTTATACGTGTGCATGTGTGTATGTTCAGCTATGTGCAGGAGCACATATGTGTGGGTATGCATGCACATGTGTGTATGTGTATGTGGAAATCAAAGAATAACTTCAGGTGTTCCTCAGGTGCTGTCCAATTTGTTTTGGAGACAGGGTCTCTCATTGGTCTGGAGCTCACCAATTAGGCTAGGCTGGCTGGCCAGTGAGCCCTGGGATCCACCTGTCTCCTCCCCCATTCTGGGATTATAATCACATGCCACCATGCACAATTTTATTTACATGGGCTCTGAGCATCAAACACAATCTTTGTGCTTTCAAGGCAGATACTTTGCCAAGTGAGCATCTCCCTGACTCTTAAAGACCTTTCTGAGCAAGAGATTTCATATGGGCCAGAGGCCACAAAAAGGGGGGTGGGAGATTTTATTTTGTGAAACAATACATCTCATCTAAGATGAAAAATAAATGCAGTCAAAACACAAATGAAAACCGCAAAAAGTAACTCAAACAAATATGACAAAGATCTAATAATCCTAGTTTATGAAAGATGCATTACAATCAACAAGAAAAGAAAACACTGCCAGTCTGTGAAGGATAGCCTGGATTGTCAACTTGACTGAATTTAGAATCATTTAGGAGACACACCTAAAAGTGCCTGTGAGGGTGCTTTGAGAGAAGTTTAATTAAGGGCAGTAAGACCTGCCTAGAATACGGGGAGCACCATCCCAAAGGCTGGTGTCCAGAACAAGGTGGAGAAAGGAACAAGTCAGCTGAGCACCTGCATCTGCCTGCCTTCTCAGTCTCCTAATCTGCAGATATGAGTAAGCAGCCTGACCCTCCAACTGCTCTACCCCCCCCACTATGATGGACTGCTCTCTAAACAAAAGCCAGGGGGGACTGGAGAGATGGCATAGAGGTTAAGAGCACTGGATGCTCTTACAGAGGACCCAGGTTCAGTTTCCAGCACCCACTTGGCAGCTAACAACCATTTGTAACTCCAGTTCCAGGGAATCTGTTGCCCTCTTCTGGCCTTCAAGGACAACAGACATACATGTGGTGTACTTACATACATGCAGATAAAACTCTCACACATATAAAATAAAAAATTTTTAAAATTTAAAAATTTAAAAACCATGAGCCAGAATAAGTTTTTCTTCCCTTAAGTTGCTTCTTGCCAGAGATTTGGTCACAAACAGTAAGAAATGTAAAACTATTATACCACTCAATAGAAAAAGTGTTCTAAAATTATGAATAGCAGCTTATAGAAAAATAACCAAACACATATGAAAAGATGCTGACTTTTTTTTTACGTGATTTAAACAAGCCAAACAGAAGAGTCTCATCTTAGACTTTGCCATTTCCCAAAACCATGCAAGAGGATGTAGTTTTCTGAGCTGCTCAGCAAGGGAGGAGCAAGGCCCTGGTAAAGTGTGACAACATGTGAATGACCGACCATTCATCATAGCTCTCCAGCTTTTATTCATTTTTAAAAGTGGGATCTCATATAGCCAGGGCTGACAAACTGACTGTGTTGCTGAGGTTGAGCTTGAACTCATGATTCTGCTCCCTCTACTTCTTCAATATTGGGTTGTAGGCATATACTACTGCAGTTTATCTCCTGCTTTTTAAAAAATTTATTTTTAAAAAATAATTGTATGAGTGTTTTGCCCACATGTGTGTAAGTGCACCATGTGCATGCAAAGCCCACAGAGGTGAGAAGAGGGCACTGGATCCCCTGGAACTGTAGTTGCAGACTGTTGTCAGTTCCATGTGGATGCTGGGAACTGAACAAGATCCCCTGTTAGAGCAGCCAGTGCTTTTAACTGCTGAACCATCTCTCCACCCCGCCCCCTCTAGTTTTTAAACACACGAAATAATCCTAGCAAGTACCCTGCAGGAAATTCCCTGAGACACTTTAAAAACCATGAAAGCTCTACAAAGCCCAATGTTTGTGGCAGAATTCTTTGAAAGAACAGCAACAATGACCAAAATGATACACAAATTTAAAATTAAATGTTATAGCGGATTTGGGGCAGTTAGGTTTTCAGTGAATATTTAGTAGGTATCTGTTGTGTGGGGGCTGTGTAATAGAACCTTCTGAATGGACCATTTCTGTCCTGGAGAGAGGTTAGTTAAGACTCAGGAAGTAAACTATGCACAAGTCTCAGAAATCCCTGAAACTTACAATAGTCACAAGGCCAGTCCTTCCCCAAGTTAGAGAAATGGTAAGCAATTTCTGGGGAGAGGAGACTCTCCAGCCTGTCCAGAGGCCTGCAAGTCACACAGAGCTCCGGGGCTTCAGTTTTCAGGCGTCCGTACTCAAGTTGGGGTGGACTTTTTGATGGTGCAGTTGCCTTTGAGTTGTCCATGCTCCTGTAAGTAACCCCTTGTTCATACTCCTGTAATCAACCCCAATAAACTCACTGGCTTGCCAAATTGAACTTGGATAGAATTGTTACTTTGGTATGTTGTTGGCTCCCTATCTGGGGTGAGAAGACATGTGTTTACGTCTGCCCAGAAAAAAGTCACACAATGGTGCCAGACAGAGCTAAAGCTAGAGAAACAGAAGCAAGCAAAATAAAAATCTCAAAATCTTAGCAGACACAAAAATATTTATATAACAACAAAAGGATCTGACCCTGAGACAGGCTAAGTCAGAAAGTGCTTGCAACACAAGCATGAGCACCTGTGTTCAAGTCCCAGAAACCATGTAAAAAACCAGTGCAGTGGTGCGCACATCCAATTCCAGCACTGGGGAGGCAGAGGCAAAGGCAAGAGGCTCTCTGGGACTCCAGCCAGCCAGTCTGAGTCCTCTTTGGGCTGAATGAGAAACCCAATCTCAAGAAACTAGGGCAGAGAGCAGCTGAGGAAGATACCCAACATCAACCTGACCTGCACACACACACTCACATGTACGTGTGCGTATACACACACACACACAAACATGATGATACAGGAAAACTATTATGAGTTATGATGATGAATCTTCATTGCCAACTTGACAGGACCTAGAATCACCTAAAAAACATACCTCTTAGTGTCTCTAGAGAGGTCTAACTGAGCAGGGATGACCCACCCCGAATGTGGGCAGCGCCATCAAACAGGCTGGGGTCCTGGGCTGATCAAAAGGAGAAAGTGAGCTTAGCTCCAGCATTCATCTCTCTCTCTGCTTCCTGACTGTGAACACCATATAACCGGTTACCTCACACTCCTGCTGCCGTGAAAATCGTGAGCCAAAAAATGTTGTCTCCCTGTTTTAAGCTGTTTTGTTCAGGTAATTGGTCACAGCGAGAAAAGTAACTAGGACAGTTTCTTTCATGCTTAACACCCAATCAGCATCCAGCACAAGCTGATAGGACATGTCACTTACCATGCTCCCAGCCCTTGTTTTCCTTTCACAATTTTCTTGACACATTCAATCGTATCCTTTAGATTTGGATTCAGTAGAGCTGTGGAGGGAATGGGGTGGAAGGATGCTGTGCAATCCCCTGGGCATGTCTTTCTACCATGCACTGCAATTGTTTTCCCCCACAGCCCGCCACTCAAGACAGGTCAAGGGCAGGAGACCCAGATGGGTGAACAGTGGTGCAGAACCTGTGGCTCCCAAGTTTGATCCCTGGTGGCACAGTGGACAGGTTATGAAGTCTAAGCCTTCCAGTAAAACTGCAGGGATCACTGCTTTGTGAGGGGGCTTCCCACAATTGGTCCTGGAACGCAGCTTAGAAGGTGAAGGGATTGGACCATTTCTCACCAGTCATGATAAAAGATGCTACAGAGACACCTCAGGTATCAGGGAAACCTGGCCTGGCCTCTTAGTGCAGCACTGACTTAGGAGCTACCCCATTTGGGTCTGCCTCCAGTTCCACCGTTCACCAGCTGTGTGGCCTTTGGTGTGGCTCTCTCTGGGCCTCAGTTTGCTCATTCATAGAATGAGAGTAAGACAGTACCCACCTCCCAGAGGTTACTGTGAATGTTAGAAGAACTGACATGTGTAGAGGACTTAGGAGGACACCTGGCAGTTGGTAGGTGCTAAAATGGTAGCTTCTTGAAGCTGGCACTCAGTAGGTTTCTAATAAATGCTCATGGAATAAGTAGATCCTGGTCAGCTGCCTCCTCTTGACCAGAGGTTCTTAGGCCTCCTTAGGAAGGGCAGCTCCCTTTGCATTTCCCAGCTACCTTCTCCTCCCTGTGATGACTCCTGATTGTCACGGTGACAGTATGGGGTCCCCTTGGGGAACTGGTGACCAAGCATGGTTACGTAAGATAAGTCCAGACAGAATCCTTTCTTCCCACTCTCGGGTTAGTGCCCTGGGACGCACACTCCCAACATCCCATCACCTTCTGGGCACACTCAAACTTGGTCCTTATATCTCCTCCCTCCCAGACCAGCATGCCACTGTCCTTTCTCACTGTCTCTCTGTCAGGGCAGCACTCTGCCGCCTGGGAACCAGCTTTGGATACAGCTCACTTTCCCTCCCTCCTCTTGCTCCCTCCAAACTCATAAGCTCTGGCACAGAGTGAGGCTCTGCAGCCACTAGCCCCACCATGGATTGCGAGGAGGGGACTCACCAGAGCAGGACACACTGCAGATGGTCTTACCATGGTCACACCATTCGCTGTCTCGGATCTGAAAGAGGCCGTAGCCAGTGTAACCACTTTGTGAATTCTCGTAGACAGCCGAGGGATTGAACTTGCTCTCAAAATAAGCCAGGCACACCCCTAGATGGTGAAGCAGGTGTGTAGAGTGGGGGGGGGGGCGCTGGAGGTGGGCGGGCAAAGGAAGGAGAGCAAGGAAGTGAGGAGGGAGGGACTGAAGGCCCTACTCACAGTTTTCAAGGCTGTAACCCTCAAAATAATCCAGGCCTCCATCGTAGAGTTTCTTAGCCACTACACAGCGCCCCAAGATGGCAGCACCATTCGGAGCCAGCAAGTAGCTGATGAGAGCAAGCACAATGCGCACCTGCATCTTCTCGGGGCTCTGATAGCTCAGGGCTGTAGATGCCAGGTGAATGAACAGAGTTTAAGGCAGCTCCTGTCAAGGTCATGAGGACACTGAACCTCCCAGAGAAAAGAGGACTGGAGGAAGGGAGATTCAGGGTGTTCAAAACAAAACAAAAAAACAAAAACCCCCGGGGCATCACCAGCCTCCCCAACATGAAAGAATCTCGTCCTAATTCTCAGCCCTGTGTCCCTGAAAATCTGAGGTTCCACCTCACCCAGACCTTCTATTCTCTATGGAAATAGCACTCTTACAGTCCAATGCCCCACCCAGAAAACTTGGTGGCTTCTGGGATTCTATCTCTGTCATTTCGTTCTAACAATAGATATAGACACTCAAGTCCTTTCTTCTCTCTAAATAAAAAATAAAAAAGTAAAATTCGTTTCATTAAATACTTTTGGAGGAAGAAACAGAAGCAGGGGAGGAATGTGAGGAAGAGGAAGAAAGGGAAGGGCGAGGAGGAGGAGGAAGAAGAGGACAATTAGGAGGAAGAGGAAAAGCAGGAGGAGCAGGAGGAGGGAGACTCATCATGGGTACATCATTGAGTATGACCATGCCTGCTGTGTTGAATTGGTTCCATCACTGCCATTCAGCCTAGGGTGTGTCCCAACTTGCCATCTACTCTATTACACAGTCTTGTATGCAGGTTTTCTGTTAACCAACCTCTACTGACCTTTTCCCAGGCTGTCTGCATAGCAGACACTCGTAGCAGACAAATCACTGGCCTAGTACTGCCTCTACTTCCTAGACTATGATGGTGGGGGAAGTCCCTCAGAGAACTGGCTCTTGACCTCACCCTTCTCAACTTTTGCTGTGCCACCTACACCTGTCACCTGTACCACAAGTAAGCCACAGCCTGACATTTTGGTCTCCGCTTGCCTAGGCCCATGCTGATATTTTCTACCACAACTGAGAAATGTCTTTGAAATATGTACAAAATGTTACTTCAAGTACACTGCTGGTTCCCATTCCTTGCCATAGCAAGACCACACCCCACACTCGGTTTCCCAACTCCTCTATAACCTGGCTTTACCCTACCCAGCCTCCATGAAGAAGAATCAGGTCAGTCACTAGGAATGCTCAGTGTACCATGTCCTGGCCTCTCCCCAGCTACAAATGCCGCTTTCCCTATGCCATGTACCTAGTGTCTTATCTTGGTGCCCTCATACCCAGACCTTCTCCATCCACAGAGTCCCACCATTTCTGGCTCACCCAAATGGTGCTCGGCCTTCTGGCCTCCATCCCTAATGCAACTCCTTGAATGCTGACGGATCCTGTGTGAGAGCCCTCTTCCCCTGCCCAGCCCTTGTTACCTGCAGAGTGTCTTCCCTGACCCCAATAAAGTGAATCCTGTTTTAGTCTCTGTCCCATCCCTCCGAATGGAAGATTCAATTAGAAAGCAGGACCCAATTCTTCATGGTGCACCCCACACTGTCAAAGTAGACCAGTGGACAGTCACCCACATGCTGCTGAGTGTCACCATTCCTTCATGTATACATCTTCTCCAGGTGATGTTCACCTCCACCAGGGGCTCTCAGCCATGGCTTGGGTTAGAAAATTCTCTGTTTGGGGGATTATTCTATGCATTGGAATTTTTCTGGCACATATCTGGTGGTGTGGTTTTGGGGGTGAAATGGTCCTATGGGCTCATGGATTTGAACCCTTGGTCCCCAGCTGGTGATTCCATTTTTGAAAGTTGTAGAACCTTTAGGAGGTGATGCCTCATAGAAGAAAGTGGAAGAAGGCGAGGAGGAGGGGAAGGAGGATGAAAAAGAGAAAGAGGAGGAAGAGGAGAAAGAAGAAAAGGAGAGGTTTCATAGCCCAGCCCCACTTCCTGTTGGCTGTTTCCTAGTAGATACAATGTGACCAGCCACCTCACAGTCCTGACCCCATGCTGGACTGTATCTCACACTGGGAGCCACAACAAAGCCTTCCTTCTTTAAGTTGCCTCTTGTCAAGATTTGGTCTCAACAGCCAATCTGCTTGGCCTCTAGGCATCTGTAGCTCCCCTCACCCCTCAGTTGTAACAGAATTGCTCCCTGTTGAAAACTTATGACCTAGATGAAAGTTTTAACAGAGGCACAGGTTGCAAACAAGTGTCTTCATGAACTGGAGGAATTGTACTTGTAGCCATCTGTTTAAACCCAGGAGCCCTGTGGCTAGGTGCACACTGACCACTATCCCAAACAGAACCATGTCAGAATGCCTACTGATTACCAGCTCAGCCTTGGAACTCAGTCTGGATCCAATTCCTTGCTTTGCCCCTCAAGAGTTGAGATGTCAGTGACCCTAGAAGTAACCTTATAGCTAAGTTATCCTGCCTCCCTGTTCTTCGGTCTCCTCAGCTGTCACAGAGAAGAAAATACTCCTGGGGTAATCCAGATAAGCAAATGAGTTAATACAGCAAGCACTGCATGCTCTGGGGAAAGTCTTGTTCTGAGCCCTGGCTGTACCCTGCATCCTCATAATAACTGAATTTCTAAGCACGTGGAGAAATCCTGTGTTGACACTTCCCAGCCAAGCAAACAGTATTTCAGGCAACATCTGATTTCCGAGGCTGTGCCCCATCTGAGCTTGTAAGAGACAAGTTGAGTCCTCTCCCTTCCCCTTCCTCCAGCAGTCAACTCAACAGTAGCATACCACTGTTCTAAACACTCCTCTTCTCTGGCCCTGTCTGCCATTGTCCTGGCCCAGCAGATCACCACTAACTCTACTCCTCCACTGCTGCTCCTTTGTTCCCAAGCCCATTCTCCAAACAGCGACTCACAAGGCCTTTATAAAAATATGCATCACCTCCAGTGGATCCCCTTGCACTCTCAATAGGATGCCAATTCCTGTGGCTGGACATAGGTACCTTCCTGACCTGGCCCCTGAGCACCTCTGTGATCTGACTTCAGAACCTTTACCTTCATTCCAAAGCACCTTGCACACTTTTCTCTGACCACGCCTCTCATTCCCACCACAGCCCCTTTGCACCAGCTGTTCTTTCCACCTAGAGCAGTCCTCCTCCAACAGTCACTGGTCCATCATGGAAGGTGGCTTTGGTTCTCTCTGTAATATGCCTTAACATCAATCACTGGGTCTGTCTGTTCTCTTGCTTACAGTCTCACACATGGACTGTAGAAACCTTGTCTGCTGGTTTTTGTCTTATCCTGGAGGCTTAGAGCCTAGTATACACCTGGTTCTTAATGAGTTTTTGTTGAAAGAATGAGCAAACCTACCCTTCTGCAATACATCTCCAGATGAGCAAAGGACTTGGCTGGCAAGTGCCCTCCTGCCTGCCCCTGCCCCACCATAGGCCTACATACCAGCAGGGTGCCCAAGGGCTCCAAGGGCCTTCTGGGAGGTCAGGAAAGAGCAACCACACAGCAGCCTGACAGGTGCTCTGCCCACACTGGGTCCCCTGGGGTTTCTCAGATGCCACTTCCTTAGAAACTCATTTGCCATCACCCAAGTGTCTCTGCACCATTGATCCTTCTCCGTGAGCGACTCTTCTAGAATCTTCTCTATGACATCAGTTGCTATGAACCAGAATGTTCTGATAGTGGGAGGAATCTGTCATCATCAAATCTGTGTTAGCTTTACAATGCTGCTATGCCATGTTAGAGTATGAAGCAATAATAAGATCTTAAAAATAAGATCCTAAAGCTCTGGACATCAGAGGTCTGACATAGATCTGGGAAGACTAAGAAAGACGTATTGTCAGGACCAGGCTCTTTTCTGGAGGGGTCAGTAGGGTAAAGTCCATTCCCTTGTTCATCCGGGGTGTGGCAGAATACAGTGTTTGTGATCAGAGAGCTGAGGTCCCCATTTTCCTCGCTGGCTGTCAGCTGAGGGCCAGCCCAGCTTCTGGGGGTTGGCTGCACTTCTTGGCTCTGTTTCCCTTCCTCGTTCTCAAAGCCAGCAAGGGTGAGTCCAAATGCTCTCCTATTGTGACTATCTCCTGCTTCTGTCTCCATACCCGGGCCTCATTCCTTCTGCCTTCTTTTCCTCCGGACTGACCTTCCCAGACTTTGGGGCAATCTCTTCATCTCAGAGTCCTTGGCTTTAATCATAGCTGAAAGTCCCTTTTGCCAGTAACACATTCAAGTGTCCCAAGAGTTCTATTGGGGACACCTTTAGCAGCTGTGCTCTGCCAACCACAGCTTTCCACTGAACTCCCGTCAGTGGGCCAGCAAGAGAAGCTTTGAGTTAGGTCTCCTACTCACAAGGCCCGGGATCAAGGATGGCCCCTCCTTGTGCCTGGGCACCTTCACCTGAGACATTAAAATATCAAACTGGATTGTTGTTGGGGTCCTTCTAAAAGGTAAGGTGAATGGGGATAATTGAGGCTTTCTGGAACATGGCAGTGCTTCTGTTCAGCCCAGTCAAGACCGGAAAGCACTTGATTGATTTAAAATGAGAAAGTGGAAGATCACAAATGAAGACTGCTTCCTGGACCCATGAATCCATCTTTGCTCAGCAGCTGCCAGCACTGTTCTCTCCTTAAGAGTTACCACCGCAGCACTGTGTAAGCTTGTGTGTGTGTGAACTGTACTGTGCTAAGTTCCACTTTGAGTTTCATAGTTTTAAAGTGGAGCAAAAAGAGGTCAACCACTGTTTCCTAAAGTGCCCTTCTAGGTTTCCAAGATATTGAAAACTTATTCTATTGAAAACTTACTCCTTTAGCAAAATACTTTTTGATAACTTGTGTTATCAAAGTACTCAACTTAACTTTGATTTTACCTTAAGCTGGAGTGACCAACTTGTATGTGGCTGGGGTGACTGGTCACCTACCTAAGCTTTACACTCAGCTACCCTGACAGAATGGCACTGAGGAACGTCAGACTGCCTTTAACCCCACAGCTTGCATTGGCCAAGCCTCACAGTGATCCTCACACCAGAGAACATTGTGCAACCTTGTGAATTGCTTAATAGCTTTTGAGGATAATCTTGAGTTATCATACCTCAAAAAAACCAAAACCCTCTAGTCAAGTGATCAAGTGACCACATCTCTCAAGAGCTCTCAGAGGTGCTCAGGTTGGCCTGGCTTCCAAAACCTCTGCCTCCTCTGTGTTCCATTGCTATTTATGCAGAC